TATATATATATATATATATATATATATATATAAAAAACTACTAATTTAATATATATATATATATATGTGTGTGTGTATAATATCAAAAATATTATTATCCCTTGGATTTTAGATCACGAGGAACGTACTTGAATTTTTAAATCATCATCCCTATAGCGTAAATTTGGAAAGAGCTTGCGAAAAGATGCAAATTAATTTGCAAATATTTCGAAACGTGAGTATCGATCATCATTCAAAGTATTCAAAAATGATTTGAGAAGCTTGAGAAATTTTCGTTTTTAGAAATTTCGCGAAGTGTTGGAGCTGGAACAGACGCGTCTGAAGGAAACGAAGCGACTCATGGCCAAATGGAAGAAGAAAAACGACAAGATATCGCAGGAGATTAGATCCAAGTCGTCGGATGTCGAAGAGCGTCGCAGATTGCTTAACGATCCGCATCATAAAAGGGACGAAGAGTCTCGAAGAATGAGACTCGCGGCGATCGCCAGACGTACCAAGCTCGTTATGATAGCAGAGGATAATTATGAGCAGCTGCTAAATTTGCACGCCCATCTCGAAGTTCTAAAATTACGAACGTATCCAACCTTGCAGTTTAAAACCGTATAGGAAAATGTGTCGAGAAAAAAGATACTGCGTCGGAAACATCAGAGCTGTAGCTAAAATAGACTTAATATTCTCAGTGTTAATTTATGAAAACCGTCTTTTTTCTGCTGAATAATAAAATTGCACCATTTATGCATTCTAGAAATCTATTAACAGAGAGAATATCGAGCGCCAAGTGTATTCTTAATCAGTTGACTCGCCTAAATTGCAGAGTTATGTAAATTCACGTGTAATATGTATGATAATACGTGATAATATTTCCATGTTACACACTTATTATCGTTACTCATTATTTTCATCCCAGTCTCACATGCATGCGATAAAGAAAAATTATTGATTCCGAGACATAAATAAGGAAAGTGGCATAAATATGGAAATTGCTGCATCTGCATTTTTCAACAATTTGAATATAAAAATGACGCTACATTGAAAAATATAATTGTTTATTTTATTTGAATCCCACGGAAGAAGCATTAAATTGTCTTAGTTAATACAAAATAATCTAAATAATTATATAATTTTGAAAATATTAAGATGTTTAATTTATCGACTCAAAAATTTTCAAAATTATTCAAACTTTTTAATAAAATTTTTAGTATCAACAGAAAAATTGTATTCTTAATTTAAATAAATTTTTTTTAAGATAGAAAACTATATGTGTATGTGTTTATGTGTAAAGGAAAAATATCTCGATATTTTTATTATATTTATCTGAATCCATTTAATCGTATCAGTATATTATTTACTTTACATATCAATTCTTTTAAAAAATTCTTCCACATCAGCGATTTCAATAGCATATGATATTAACGTGATTATTAAAGTAAAATATAATCGGCACTTTTGCCTTGCAATATTTTACGATTACGAGACTACCGCAAAATAAATCACGGCAGATGTTATTACAGTCTGACAAGACTAAATAATGATATTATGACATTGGATTTTCCGCCTATCAGGAAATATACCATGAATTATCGAATCACTATTCGCGATGGTCTGAAGCGCTTTTTCTTTCAACTGGTTCATCGTCCACGAAGAATGTCTCGATATTTTGGCACGTGCTAAGACGCAGATAATAAATCATTACCTGCGGATCATCAATCAGACATGCATTTATAACTCAATATCAACGTTCGTGCTTCCGCGAGTTATATGATGGTCCATTAATAGAAATCTATCAATAAAAAACAAAGAATTCATCCTTAGCGCTTATCTATATAATTGATCCTCTTACGAAACTGATAGGCAGATAAACATACTATAAACATCACTTTGCAATTAAATTATTATTACTCATTTGTTGAAAAAAAAATTTTTCTATGGTAAAGAACTACTGTGACAAGCAAATAGGTAAGATATGTAGTAAAATGCCTATTATAAAAAAATAAATTTAACATTAAAATTTGTAATTATTGCAAGATTATTAATTTTAAGATTGCGACGATCAAAACTTAAAAAAAAAATTATTATTTGAAACGGAATTAATTTAAGACTTTTGGATATTGTTTTCAGATTGTTTTAAGAAAGAATTGTTCTATTATCATCAATCATTATCTAGAAAAAGTCTGTTTATTACAATGTATAATAGTATCTAGTAAACAACGATTTAGCACTTTTTCGTATTGATAAACTTATTTTTTAAGATTACACTTTATAGGCAACTGTATATATCGCAGCATTGCGTCATTTTAATATTATTTATAGCGCGCAGCTCAAAGATTACATACTTATCGGTGCCGTTTTGTAATAACAAAATATAAACACGAACATATATTACATTATATATTATATGAGCTATTTGTTCAACATATCCATCAACATGTCCATCGGTAGGAAAAGAGAGTCACATTAAGAATCAATGTGACTCGATAACACGGGAATTACCGCCGGGTACTTTCCTCGTGTCAACAAAGGTTCACGTGATTTAAACTTCGCGATATACATTAACATGATGACGTATGTGCATGTGTGCGTGCATCGCATCTTTGAAGAGCGATTGAAACGAAGGACGCGATTTTACCAAACAAAACCGAGGACGCGGGTCTGTTAAACTTGAAACGAGAAAGAGGAGAGACTGGACCGATGGAGAAAAATCGCTTCAAGGATTTTCCTCCACCCATGCCACGGGCGATGGGTGAGAAACCCATCCTGGAAAGTTACCGAGACGAACGTTAACGATCGCGACTTATCCTGCCCGCAGGATCCAATAAAATCTAGCTCCTGTATTTTTTATAAACAAGACGGTATTTCTTATCGAAAACCGGAATGATTTTTTTTCCTCTGTTACGAATTAATTGGATGCCGTAATATCTTTTATTTGTCGTCTGAAACTTGAATATTAAATTTATTAACAATTACATTTTGAGATATTGTTATACTTTATAATTGTTTATTATTAAAGTTATTAATACGTATATTTCAATATATTTTTGTTAAAGTTAAGTAAAAATTATTTCAATTTTCGACTAAGCAAACTTTTCATTTTCCAATTTTTACTTTTACTATAAGATTAGTCTACTTAAATTATATTTTCGTTAAAATACATTAAAAGTGAAAATCGAAAAATAAAAAGTTTTATAATTGTTGATATAAATAAAAAAAGCTGTGTATCAAGCAATACATTTTTATTGTAGCGTTTTTCTAAATCGGCATAAAGATAATTTTCATCCAATCCTTGGAATTACATCGCTTACGGAATTTAGAAAAGATCAGGTTTTTAAAATCTACACACGTATATTTGCGGTCAGTAATAATTGTACAATACGCGAATAGCCAGAACCAGATGTCTGTCCTTTTCTAAAGGTTGATATGCAACGAAGCTGGAAAGTGCCAAGAGATGCGAGGAATTGAATAGATAATTCGACGATGGCGTCATTACGCGAAACGAACGAAGAAAGAGCGACGGCGGGAATCGCCAAGCGATAGGGAAGAAGAGAGGAGGAAAAAGAGCGAAACTTCTTCCCCTACTTCTCTTTCGAGTTAAAATACAAGGAAGAAAAAGACGCATCTATATAAGAACGTACATACACCGTCGCTCTGGACGGTCTTGACAAGTCTTGTCGCCAACCAGCTCGGGCCTCACCTGATCCTTATCCTGCGCCTTATATTTCCGGTCGACATTCGATCGCGCTCCAATCTTTTGGAGAAAAATAGCGTGGTAACGTAATTCGCGAGGTGCCGTGATCAAGATGTTGGACAGATACGTGTTACTCTTGATTTTCGCAGTGGCGGCTACGTCCGGTACGAGCCAACCACGAGTGTGTAAGTATTCCATGAAATTGTCAATTTGCAAAAAAACGAAAATTGGACACGATACAACTGATCAATTAGTAAAAAATTAAAATTTCAAAAATGTTTGTCTTCTCCGATTATATTTATAAATTTGGAGATCAAACTCGATTTTCGAACAGTTTGCACTTTTACGTTAATTGTAATAAATAAGATTATTTTTAAATAATAATAATTCTTAATAGTAAATAATTAAAGTATTTAAAAGAAGCTTAAGAAGTTCACTGTTTCTCTCTCTCTCTCTCT